GCACATCGGATGATTTCCTTGCTCAAGGGAATTAGCAGCTAACGATAAAAACTTTACGCGGTGCTTTCAGAGAGAGGAGTGAATCGGCATCATCACCAGAGGGCAAAGCAACTATCTAACAACCCACCGTGCGACTGCCCTCCTTCGGCATCGTCTGAATCCTCCCTCAGTTTCCAGTACGGGGTACAATCTTGCTATACTTCCTTCTCCTAACAGTCCTCATGCATTTTAATCATGAGCCTTTTTCGGTCTACTGCTGAATGAAGGCCTCTCAGAAACTCCTTATTTCTGCGATTCTTATCAATCTTCTTCAGCTTACGTCGCAATCGATCTGGAGGCCTTCATACGAGTTGTTTATTCTCGTTTGGAACCCAGTCTAATATCTGTTTCAGTCATTAACCGTTCTTCTTGCAACGTGTCCTGCACATTGCCACTTCAAATTTTTCATTGACGTCGCACTTATGTTTGTGCTTTTACCCATTCATTCGTTTCAGGCATAAAGTTCACGCTTTGCACCCACAAATTAGCACCGGAGGCATTAATGGAATATTTTCAATCTTTTAACTGTTTCGTGTCATTTTTACTCTTCTATTGATTTTCAAGTAGGTTCTCGGTTGAAAAAACGAATTCTTCCACGAAAACGTAGTCTTGAACTCTTTAAGAATAAACCCATTAACTTCGACAGGTCACGGTGTTGTGTTTATTAAATGTTTACCCAAGCTTCATGTTCATTTTCAGTTCTTCTTTGATATTGACTTCGTTCAGTGTGGGAACTTTTTCGGACTTCTTATGGTAACCCTAAGAGCATAAGAATATCGTCTTCAAACGCAGGTGGTTTAAATTGTACCTTTTTTCAGCCCTTAATTTTCTCGATAAAGTGTGCTGAGAACTTTTGCGGATTCTGTAAATAACTTAAGTGATATTGCATCACCGGTCCACCGTCCGTTTTAATTCTGAATCTGTTTATGCTTTCGTGAAACTTCACGCTAGCAGTTACATTCTTGTAAATCTTGACGATGAAATATCCGTATCTTTCCTCCATTCTCTCGCTCCTCAAGGAATTCAGTACAGAACGGACGCACTTAATCAAGCGCCTTCTCGAAGTCAACAAACCCCAGAGAGGAAAAACATATTCGTTGCTCGCCTAATATCCTGAAAATTATCCATTGTATTAAACCAAGTTCTGAATCTATTTACTATACAGAGTTCAATATTTATTGGTCTGTTCGTTCGTGAAAATCTAGTAGATTACAGGCAACAAGCTAATCGGCTTGTAGCTGTTCAGATCCCCTTGCTATCCGTTTTTGTAGAATCGAAACACCCATGCGGAAGTCCGACGGTTTTGAAAACGCAGTTCCATTAGCGTGAAAACATAGAGGCGATGTTGGTCAATGCTTAATGTCCTGATTTTCATTCACCAGTTCTACTACAATGCTATCTTCGCTAGGAGCACATTTTTATGAGGTGACTCAATTATCGTAGTTTCGTTCCCTTACCTCCTATAAGAGCAAATTATAAAACGACGCTGGTGTGCTAATCATGTAGACGTTCTGACAGATTTATCAACTATAACAAGTACAATGTCATTTTCAGCGCTTTAGTATATGCCTCTGCTTTTTGCTTGTCTGACTTTCATGCATGTAACAAGCGGCAAACCATATGAAAGGCCAATTTTTGAACTTCGGTTAATCTTAGTCAGCAGCCCAGGCACCCGGAGAGAAGCGAGACCGTAACCGCAACTGAGAGTTTCGACTACGCCCATCTGTAAATAATAAAAACCTGTCGACGGTTCTGCCCACGGCCACATACAGTTAATTGCAGACCCGATAATCACCACTATATTTCAAGCGAGAGTCAAAATATAGGTAAGAATTAACTACTGCAGTAGTCGCAGTATTTTTCCTAATTGGAACGATTCAAAAATATATTTTGAAAGTCGAAGGGCATCCAATATCTGACTCTGTTTCTCTCCTGATGATTTTGAATACCACATCGTAAGATTACGCTCTGCTAACGAGACAGTAAACTTTTATTTGCGCAACGCATTTGTTGTGCAATTTTAGACAGCGCTTCGAATGAACAAATAAATACATAAAACCATCAAAAACGAATAAAACTGCGCACAGAGCTCGGAATGACAAGATAATCACCGCTTCAGTAGATCACGCCTAAGCCATACCATCTGTGAAAAAATTAGAACTTCCTTCGTCAAGCTTTGATGAAAACAAAGCCACTCGGTACTCTTCTTCAGACTAAAAGGGCAAGTTTAAAGATAAACAATGAAATTGAAGTTTATGAGCGCAAGCTATCTAAAAACCATTTCTCGTAAAAATTATACCATATTACAAAGGTCTTGCTGAAAAACAGCGTAAAATACGGTTTAATAATATATATCGCAAAAAATACTGTGGCCAATCCAGTGATTGACGAATACCAACGCTTTGGCCTGTGTTTCACGGGTACGTAAATGGTGAAGTTTCGTGAATATGGTGGTCGTCCGCAGAGGTCGACAGTTTAGCAACCAGAAGGCAAGCTTTCAGTCCGTGATGCTGGTAAGTTTTTGGCGACAGGGTCAACAAGGCTAATTCAATCCGCGCAGAGTTCATCTTTTGTCAGGGTTGACACTTTCGCAGGATGATGATGATGATTAATGCTTTTTTATCCGCTTGTGTAGCCGATGTCCTTGCCTTGATCATGCCGCTACCCTCAGACCAGCGTGGAAGTGTCTTTACTTGGCCGCATGCTGCACAATCTCAGAGGTCTTCTAGCAAATTTCCTTGACTTTGCTGGGAGCGGAACTACGTTTCTTCCCGGGTAATTCATTATCACATGTGTTCCGATGTTATCCGCGACTAACCATCTTCTCCAGCTTGACAGGTGGATCTTTGTTCTCTGTGTGACGGTGTTCCCTGTTTCCCTAACGTAATAATTCCCGCAGTTGCACTGTAATTTGTAAACCCCGCTTAGACAGTCACTATTCTTAAAATTATTTCATAACCTATCAAGTTTATTACAACTTTTATATATAACATCAATATCAGGTTTATTGTTAAATAATATTTGCAACATTTTATCAAAAATTTTATGATACGATAGAATTCGGTAAGGTTTATTATTCGTCTTCTTAGTGTTACAAAGACTTAAGTGACTTATTCTTTGGTTTATGAAGT